CGCGGTGCACAAGCTGAGGTGACCTGCACCTGAATCTTCCTTATCATTAGCTGGGCCGAGGGGAGGCATAATTAGCATATTTAATTTATGCGACGGTAATTAGCCAATCGGAAATCAAAGTTGTTAATACGTCAGGCACCACGAAATCGTGGTGCCTGCACTCGAAATCCTCACTGTTTTCCCAGTCCCTAATCCCAGAAAAAGTATACTATGGAACGCCATGCAAATAAGTAATATGGAACGCCATTTGTGCCAAAATCAATTTATTCTTAAGCATTTCAACTGATTAAGACAAAGATTAGGGACTGGAACCCAGTCTAGGTATACTGTAATGTTGGAGAATTTTCCAAAGGGTAACTCAGTGTATGCTGTCAAAAGCTTTTCAAAGTCGATAAAATTTACAAAAAGAGGTGCATTCCACTCTATAGATTGTTCAGTTATGTTGCGCAAAGTAAATTCCTCTCCCGTTGTCAAAATTTTCAAGATTTCCTTTTTTTTGGTATTTTGATAATTAATCCTTTAGACCAGTCTTCAGGCATAATGCCGTCAGAGCAGATTTTTTCAAATAAGTTGTATAGGATTCTTGACGACAGGTCAACATCTGCTTTGAGCATTTCGGCATGGATTGAATCGTTTCCGCATGCCTTCCCATTTTTCATTGCTTTAATTGCAGATTTTATTTCTTCAATGGATGGTGAGGTTGTGTCAATATTCAAATCGTTTATAGCTGGGGTTGGGTTAGCACAAATCTCAGGTTCCGTGCGGTTAAGTACTCGTTTAAAATCTTCAGCCCATCTTGCAGCGAGCTCTCTTTCATTTGTAATTGCAAGCCCTTGGTTATTGGTGATCCGCTAACATTAGCGGATCACCTCCTGTTATTGTCAGAATCTTTCTTTTCTTTTTTTTCTTTCTTTTTCTTCTATCTTTCTCCCCAATTTTGTGACCACGATATCTCAAGATTGCTTCAACCGATCAACATGATATGTTCAACAATCATTAGTCTTGGGGTGGAATCGATACAATAAGCTTTTCAGCGTGAGCAGTCACGCGTGACTTCATCTACGCACAATTTTGCGTTTTACGTAGCAAATTTTTTTATTGATCATAACTTAACCATCGTTAGGCCTCTTTTGTTGAAACTTCACACAGGTATACTTCATGTTAAGTACTATGCATATGCATAGTACTGTCCGAATTGCAGCTCATTACGCGCACGTACGCGTGCGCTAAAACTTAAATTTGCTCAAAATCACGTTTTTACTAAATTTGTGTACGTTTCAGCTGATTCTGAGCATTTCAACTTTTTCACAAATTTTCAGGTCGTGCAGATGATTCAAATTAAAATTTTTGACATATTTTCAGTTTCTTTCACTGTAATGACATATTTGCATTCTTTTTGAGTAATTTTACGTCTAATAATAGTGCAGTACGCGCACTTCTAATATACGTGTGTATTTGCACGTTTTTGTCTATTTTCAGTCAAAATGAGTCAAAATTGTACCTATTTTTAGTTAGTTTAGTTTAGTTTTTCAGTTATAGTTCCTCAGGATAAAAGGTGACCCCCAATTTTTATTACATATTCTGAAAGTACATGAGTTGTACATATGATTTTATACGACATAATGGCTGATCGGATATTATGACATCGTCATATTGCCATCTGAATTCAACAAACTGAGTATTATTGATGACGTCATTTAAAAAAAATGCGCATTTGAGCGTATCTCGCTTATTCTTGGTCGATTGTCTTCCAACTTTGAGTATGTTATAGCTGAGGCAATTCTCTTTCCTATATTTGACACTCTTTTACATTTTGATGACGCCATCATGGTCAAAATATAGGGTTTTGCTTACCCCCTCATCTTTCTTTCGTCAAACCTTTGATGACCCCATAATCACCTTAATCATTCGTGATTTTTGAATCATATTTAGTGGGCATAAACTTCAGGTCATGGTTAAATGTTATGTACATTATATTTTTGTGCGCGCGTAATAACGCGAGCGTTCGCGTACATCAAAATTAAAACATGCTTTATATCATGTCTTTTTTTAATCAGTTATAGCTCCTTAGGATGAAAGGTAACCCCCAATTTTTATTACATATTCTGAAAGCACATAAGCTGTAGATATAATTTTATATATCATAATAGCTGATCGGACATTGTGACGTCATCATATTGCCATCAGAATTAAAAAACAAGAAACAATTTATATTTCTTTTCTCAAAACGTTGATGACGTCATATCATCTTAACCATTTGTCATTTCTGAATAATATTAAATGGGCTTATATACTTCAGGTCAAGGTTGAATGTTAGGTTTCTTACTTTTTTGTTTGCGCGTCTCAACGTGCGCGTACACGTGCATCAAAAATTACATATGCTTATAATTATGCCTATTTATAATCAAATATAACTCCTTAGGATAAAAGGTGACCCCCAATTTTTATTACATATTCTGAGAGCACATGAGTTGTAGATACGATTTTATAGATTATAATGGCTGATCGGACATTGTGACGTCATCATATTGCCATTTAAAGTAAGAAAAAACTGACGTTATTACTTTTTATACTCATTTGAACGTATCTCGCTTATCTTGATTGATTGTCTCCCACCTGTGAGTATATTATAGCTAAATCAATTCTCTTTCAGACGTGTCCCTTTATTTTTCATTTTCATCACGTCAGCATGGTCAAAAAGAATTAATTTTTGGAGCCCTTTTATCTCTCATTCTTAAAAGATGTCCTAAAGAGATAGAACAGAGTGAGGGCGGCAGACTGTATTTCGACGCTATCAGACTGATATATATAGGTTATATGAAGAGAAAATTCGTGTGGCATTACCAACTAACAGGCGGTTTTAAAAACACTTGACAATGTTTAATTTCGTGTGCCATTACTGTACACGCACACATCGTGACGTGCGCGTTTGTTAAAATTTGAAAATTCTCCATATCACCATTCAGATAGTTTAAAGAACGTTTCGGGTCATTTTCAGCGTTCCAAAACTTTCCATATTTACGCGCCATATGTTCATTTCCACGCACGCAACACGTACTGAAGCTGGAAATCACGTTTGTTACATACTTTGTGTTCCTGACACATTATTCAAATCAGGAGTCACTCTTTGTGCTATTACCGTGCTCACGGGCATCAAGACGTACGTGTACGCATGCGTAAATCTTTCAAAATGCTCAAAATTATTCTTTTTTAAAAAACTAATTACAGCATATTTTAGCATATTATGACACTTTTCATTCAGCACCGCGTGAGCTTTATGAGGGTCAAAGTACGGCGGATCACCTAACTCGTCCTCAGTGACGAGTTCAAATCTAGTTTCTCATTGTACTTGTTATAGCTTTGTATTTGTTGCTCAACTGTTTGGTGATTTTATATACTTCATTCATATTCCCCATTGCTGCTGCTTCCTCAGCTCTATCAGCAAGAGTTTAAACATAGTGTCTCTTATCCTTTCTGGCACTTCTCTTCACATCCTTTGATTTGTATGTTTTCGTGAATCTTTTTTTGAGCCTAGCAGACTTGATGTTCAACAAACTTGTTTTTATTTCCCGTCTTTCATCTATCTTCTTCCATGTCTCATTACTGATCCATTTCTTGCGTCCTCTTTGTATCCAAGAACATTTTTTGCTGTATCTACATACTGTAGGATTCCTTGATTGAGCTCCATATCTGCTCAACTCTTGGGTCGTTATCATCTAGTAACTCATCTTGTAAGGTACTAAATCGATTTCTTAACTGTATTGTGAACATATTTGTTGTATCTTCCACTTTTAATTTAGCAATATCTAATTTTCTGCTTCTGGAATTTGATTGCGTAACCCTATGTAGCTTTAGCATAACAGAACATATGACAAGATAATGGTCACTACCAGCATCAGCTCCACGGAACACTCTGACATCTTGAAGTGATCTGCGCCATTTTCCATTGATGATTATGTGGTCAATTTGATTTGTGGTATCTGGGGATACCCAAGTGTGTTTATGAATTGACTTGTGAGGAAATAATGTTCCTCCTATGACAAGGTTGTTGTTTGCACAGATTTCAACAAGTCTATCTCCATTGTTGTTTCTCTCCCCACATCCATGTTTGCCCATTGTTCTTTCAAAATTACTATTGTCTGATCCAACTTTTGCATTTATGTCACCCATGATAAGAAGCATGTCATGTTGTGGTACTTTAGAGATTGCCATTTGTAGTTGATCATACCAGTCATCTTTTCAATCTTCATCTGCATCATTAGTTAGGGCATAACATTGTAGAACAGATAGTTTGCAGTATTTTGAATTAAACCTTGCTCGGATCAGTCTGTCGCTGATAGGTTCCCACTCCAACAGTGTACTTGAGATTTCTTTGTCAATTATAACAGCAACCCTGTATAAATGAATGTTTTCATTACCTGAGAAAATTACCGTATATCCGTCATTTGTTTTGATTTTTCCCGAACCGGTCCAGCGTGCTTCGCTGATTCCTAGGATCTGTATCTTGTGGCGTTTCATCTCATTTGTAGTTTGTGCAAGTTTTGATGTTTCGTACATAATACGGACACTCCAAGCACCAGCACGGAGCTTAGTCTTGGGTCTAAGAAAATTCTCTTTCACACTTCTAACTTCCTGATAAGGGCTTTCATTAGAAATAGTCATGCTGTCTTTGTTACGACTCGAGTCTCCATGAACCAGGTTAGTCTTTTTAATTCTCATAGTTTTCGTAACAAAGTGTTTTTTACAGGGTGGGTTGTTAGCCCTCCGCTAACCTCTGTCTGCGTCGAGGGTTCGCTGGCTGAAGTTTGTCTGATTCCTCCCCTCAGACCTGCCCGGTTTGGGTGACCCTATCCGGTATAGCTCTGAGGTTCTTAGGAGTACACAAGCTTTATCACCACGTCAAGGTCTCAGTAAATGATAGAGACTTGTGATTATGTTATAGCTAAATCAATTCTCTTTCATTTTGATCATGTCAGCATGGTAAAAAAGAATGAATTTTTGGAGCCCTTTTATCTCTCATTCTTAAAAGATGTAAAAAAATAGAACAGAGAGAGGGCTGCAGACTGTATTTCGACGCTATCAGACTGATATATAATGTTATATGAAGGGAAAATTTGTGTGGCATTACCAACTAACAGGCGGTTTTAAAAACACTTGACAATGTTTAATTTCGTGTGCTATTACTGTACACGCACACATCGTGACGTGCGCGTCTGTTAAAATTGGAAAATTCTCCATATCACTATTCAGATAGTTTAAAGAACGTTTCGGGTCATTTTCAGAATTTCAAAACTTTCCATAATTTATGCGCCGTACGTTCATTTCCACGCACACAGCACGTACTAAAGCTGGAAATTACGTTTTGTTACATACAGTATTTTGTGTTTTTGACACTGTATTCGTATCTGGAGTCACTCTTTGTGCCATTGCGTGTACGCATGCGGAAATCTTTTAAAATGCTCAAAATTATTCTTTAAAAAAAAATTAATTACAGCATATTTTAGCATATTATAAAACGTTTCAATCAGCACTGCGCGCGCTTCATGAGGGTCAAAGTAAGGCGGATAACCAAACTCGTCCTCAGTGACGAGTTCAAATCTAGTTAAATATATTTCAGATCCATTTACTCAACTTATCACATACATTTTTAATTTCAGAATTAGTTTTGTTTATAATATTTGCTATTATGCTTATTATAAAAACCAGAATAATTAGTTTGTATTGTATTTTTTTATTTTTTTTTATAAAGAAGGCTTCTAAGTTTTATTTAACTATACCTTTTCACCCTTTGTCAATTATTAATTAACAATATTGTTGTTCACATTAAGTTGAAAGTAAACTTATAAATTTAAAGCATTCAACCCATCCCATTACTTTCTTTACTGTTTACATTCGCTATATAAAATTTTATTTTCTTTGGATGGTTTTGGCAAAACTATGTGCTAAATAAGAAAACAAAATTTTATTTTAATTTTTTTTCTGCCCTCCTCTGACACTCTTTAAAAAAATGAGTTTGCGAAACATTGTATAAAAAAAAGTCTCTCTTTAACACGAGTGTATATTAAAAGAAAATTTCCGGACTTAGAGATGCAATTCTTAATGATGATAATAATTTGGAGTTAAAATTTAAATATTGATGGGCAAAAGATAAAAAGTGTAAAGCATTGTAAACACCTTGGTATCATAATTGATGATAACCTCTCTTGGAATTACCATACTGATAGGAATTACCATACTGAATGTGTAAAAGGTAAGGCGCTGCAAGTATTCTACTACCTGAAAAAAGCAAATTCTATTTTCCCAAAAGATATTCAATGCACAATGTATAAATCACTAATTGCTCCCTATTTTGAATATTTTCATGTTGTCTGGGGGCGCCCAAATGCATCTCAAATTTACAAACTTCAGGTCATGCAAAACAGAGCTGCCAAAATAATAACTAGTAGGACTAGGAGTGAGTCTAGCAGGGAAGTCTTACATAGCCTTAACTTAGATAACCTTGAGAGGATGCTGTATCAGAATGAGGCCATCACTTATGTTCATAATCATCAATAATTTAGCACCAACTTACCTAACAAGCAGATTCCATATTAAAGAATTCCCCTATGACACCAGATCTAAAAATCATTTAACACTACCCAAACCATGAACAGATTATAAAAAACATAGCTTATCATACAGAGGTGCTAAATTATGGAATGTACTTAGTGATGACCTCAAAAACTCAAATACAAATTTCCAATTTTAAAATGAAAATAAAAATCATTATAGTTAATGTTACAAGTTTATTTACGGTAATTCTATAAGTCTATTTTTACCTTTTTGTTTTAATTTCTGTTTATTTGAGTTGTACAATGCCTTTACGGCCTTGTTGGAAAACACCATTGCGGTGAACATTAAATGTCAAGTCTTCATGGACCCACATTGTCGATATTCAATAAGATATAGATAGAAGATGATTCGTCTTGAAAGTACAATATTAAACAGTGCCATAATCATAAATTTTCTTACCTCAGCCCTAACCATGTTGGGATGGCATAGACCCTCAGTGTGAAAGTCTTTCCCTTGGCTGAACAAAAATATCTGAGTGCAAGGGGGCTCCACCCACTCGAACCTAGCTGGCCTCTTCCCACCAAGGTGGACCCAGTCATTCTACAAGTTTGCACCTACCCATTAAAATTCCAGCATACTGGCCTGGAAATTTTTTCGGCTCCCTGGAGAGTATTGCTAGCAGCACCAATTTCATTCCAGATCATTCACATCACTCCTTCTATACTCATGGGTGACGAAAGGGGAAGAGAGATAAAGCATTTTGCCCAGGGACACAGTATGACCAGAGTTGGTCTCAAAACACTTTTCTTGCCTGAAAGTCCAACCACTGCACGCCATGACTTCTACTTGCCGTAAAAGGGTAAAAATAAAATTATATTGAATAACCCCCAGTAGGGTTTGAAATGCATTTCCTATTGTAGTATGGCACTGTGATAGTAGAAGCATGCTAAGTTGCTGGAGTTTTGACAGGCTACCTCACTCATTTAAATAAGTGATATGCAGTATAGCATGAAAGTGTTATTTTGTGAATGGTGGTTTCCCTTATCTTTGTTTTTATTTTTTTAAAGTGGGGTTTTTCAGACATCATATATCCATGTGATCTGCATTAATAAGATCTTTTTTTAATATTTTATGCAACTTAATGATTGCAGGTGGAACAGCGGTGGGTACAGGATTAAATACAAGAATTGGATTTGCTGAAAGAGTTGCAGCTGAAATCTCACAGTACACAGGTTAGTTTTCTAAAACATGTCTATTAATTTTAATTTTATGCAGATAAAGTGGTCTCAAGTCTCCTGAAAGTTACCTTCTTAAAAACGGATTTTTCTCCCCAAATAAAAACAAAAATGTTTCCCAAAATTTATTGGTTCTATCCTACCGTAAATTTTTTGGTGATCCGCTTCACGAGCGGATCACCTGTTGTTATTGTCAGGATCATCATCATCTTCATCTTCTTTTTTTTATTCTTCTTTCTTTCTCCCCTTTTCTGTTCGCATGATATCTAAAAAAATGCCACGAGTTACGCACAATCGCTGTCAGCGAACATTTGGCTTGGTCTGGAATAGTCATGGTAAGCTTTTCAATGCACTCAGTCATGCGTGACATCATCTAAGCGCAATTTTGCGTTTTTACATCATCGATCATATCAGTCTAACCAATTGCCATTTCGAAATCGAATTAAGTGAGCATTAAC